AGAAGAAGAAGAAGAAGAAGAAGAAGAAGAAGAAGAAGAAGAAGAAGAAGAAGAAGAAGAAGAAGAAGAAGAAGAAGAAGAAGAAGAAGAAAGGGATGAGATGGGGACATTGGAGGGGGAGAAGCAGCGGGGTCTTTTTCCTGATTTTACCTCGATCTTGTCAATCCTGTCTTTCAGCGACCTGACAGCTTCCTCCAGTTCCCGGATCATAGCAGGCGAATCCCACGACAGGTCATCCATGGGCATGGCGTCTTGCCTGGGGACCCCCCAGACGGAGGGACTATCCTGGAAAGTGAGTTCCAGCCCATTCTCACACTGGCTCAGCTTGGTGGTCAGCTCCCGGATCGTCTCCTGATCGGTGCGGATCTGCTCCTTCTGCTGCTGCGCCGTCTGCCTCAGCTGCTCGGCTGTGCTTTGGAGAAAGAACAGCTCCTCGCTCGCTGCCGCCGCCGCCGCCGCCGCCGGACTGTCCCCTTGGGGGCTTCCTTCCGCGGGACACTCGACCGTCAGCGGGGTGCATAGGAAGCGGCTGAAGAGTTGCTGATGCTGCTGCGGCCGGGCGCTAGCCAGGAGGTCTAGCACAGAGTCCTGGGAGCCTGTCGAGAAGCCCCCGTAGCTGCTTTCGCCAGCCCCGTGGAGGGCTCCCAGCGTCTTGTCGGCACCGGTGGCGGGCAAGAGGGCAGAGGCCGCGGCGTTGGAGCCATTATCAGCACCTTGGAGGGCTCCGGCATGGCTGGCCGCAGGGTAGACGCTCGCGATGATGCAAATGATTGCACCAAGGAAAGCGAGCATCCCTGCGGCCAGCAGCACCACCAGAAACTTCAGGGTGGCAGTTTCCAAGGGGGCAAAAGCCAAGAGAAATGAAGACCCCAGAGGTGGGGAGTGAAGGGAGAAAGGGGAAGGAGGAGAGAGAGAGAGAAAGCGCCCGAAGTGACAGCGAGCAAGCTGAGTGGCAGGACCGCTGAAGAAGCCTTTCCTTGCTTCCTTCTGCTTCTTGAACCGGGGCTGTTGATTATATCCTGATTGGAGAAAAGGAACCGAGACGTCACCGACTCTTCCCTTCTGGGCTCTTTCCAACTCCTTCCCTGTAACCCTTTCCAGGCTGGTGAGAGAGAAACTTTGGCTCTTGCTTTCCTGTGTGAGGTAGTCAGAAGTTTGGGAACATCAACACCAAATGTGCTAGACTAAAAAAAGGTACTATCGGACTCTGTCTTATTTTTGGCTGCAACAGACTAATACTGCTCTCTTCATATGTGTGAGATACACAATTTTCAAGGGAGCAGAGGAAGGAGGGAGGGAGGGAGGGAGGGAGGGAAGAAGGAAGGAAGGAAGGAAGGAAGGAAGGAAGGAAGGAAGGAAGGAA